TCATGCTAAGCAAAATGAGTCAGAAAGAGAGGGATAGACATAGAAAGATTGCATTCATCTGGGGAACATAAAGTAACAAAATAGGAGACTAACACCCAAGAATAGCCGAGATAAATACCAGGAGGTTCACTCCATGGCTTGGAGGCCAGCCACACATGCTGAGGGAGAAGGCAGCTCAGATAGAGAAGGGAGCACCAAATAAAGGGTGTTGGGAGGATCCTCCCAGGATGGGAGATGCATGCTGAATGTAGACTATAGATCAAACATGATTGCCACTCAATGCCTCTTTTGCAAGCCACAGCACCCAAAAGGAGAGAGAGAACAAAAGAGAATGCCCTGCCATAGAGGCAGGGTGGGATGAGGGTGGGGGGATGGCGATTGGGAGGGATACTAGGATCAGTGGTGGTGGAGAATGGGCACTGGTGGAGGGATGGGTACTTGATCATTGTATAGTTGAAACCCAAGCACAAAAATTTGTAAGTCTACAACTGTACCTCATGTTGTTTCACTAATAAAACAAAAAATAAATAAATAAAAGAATATTTATATAAGTAAACACTATTTCCAGGCTTTCAAAGTCATTTCAAGAGCATCAAGATATTGACCTGTGTCTAACCCATCATATCAGACATTGTCTTTTATTATAAATAGAAAAATATTTTGCATAATTTAAAAAAAAGGGAGCAAGCAGTAGGTTGGTGTCCATTGAAGGAAAAATTAAACAGGAAATAATGCAATTTTTTAAACTGCAATGTAGTCATAAAAATCACTTGCAATAATAGACACCCAATTTAGGGTACTCGTGGGAGACGTTAACTCAATCTTGAAGGGTTACTTATTTATTAAAATAATATTTCACCTTTAAGAAAAAGAGCCTCTCATAGAGGCAGCCTTGTGGGTGGGAGGCAATCTGGGACACTGGTGAAGGGATTGGTGCTGCTACAGTATATCTAATCAGGAACAAGTTTGCAATTCACAGTGACTAAATGAAAAAATATTTTAAAGAAAGAAAATGCACAGATCTTTATTTGTAACACTGTGGCACTGTCCTCTCTTGTTCATTGATTAGCTCTAGGGGGCCCAGTAACATCTCCATTGTGAGACTTGTTACTGTGTTTGCCATATGGAATACATCACGGTAGCTTGCCAGGCTTTGTCAGGCCAGAGAGATACTCTTTATCTTCGTACTTGCCGGGCTCTCTGAGAGGGGTGGAGGATTTGAGGACAAGAAATTATTGGTAATGCTAATACTGTTTTTATGAATTTTAATATTTTCCAGAATTGCTGGCTACCTATTGTAACCTGCCCACACGGCAGAGTCTGGCAAACTCCCTGTGGCGTACCCAGTATGCCAAATACCAGTAAGGATGATGGGTCTCATTCTCCCAACCCTGAAAGAGCCTTGAATATGGCACTTTTAAAAAAATCTCAGGGCTAGGACAAAGGAGACATTACTGGGGCCTGCTCGAGGCAATCGACGAACAACAGGATGGTCGTGATCGTGATTGTGATCCAGAATTGCTACAAAGGGCATTTACTGCATAGTGCATTTGGGATTATGACCCAAAACTTCGTAACTAATATGCTTTTTAACATTGTTCTGGCTGTTCCTCAGGGACACTGGAGAGATCTAATCTGAGATGCGTGGTCACAATGACTTTCAAAGCACGGGAGGAACTGACTGTGGGATGGCTGGATAAGTAGGGAACATGTAGTAAGAGGTCTTGTAGATCATGCGTGGTTTGGTGAGCATCGTGGAGCATCCAGGCTGTGCTTAGGGAGCCCAGGGCTCAGTCCTGGTGATACTGTGTCAGCTCTGCATTCCCACAGAGGATACATTGCTTGCTGGGCCATGTGGTGCTGCCCTGGCAAGACAGTGTTGGGGGCCACCACGGTCACACTCCAGGGTGCTGACAGCCTCTGTGCAGTGCCAAGATCAAACTCTGGGCATTCTCCTGCCAAGTATGTGTTCCCGCCCTCTGAGCTATCTTCTTGCCCCCAAGGTAGCTTCCCCCCCATAAATAAATGTGAACTTTGTCCTAACAGATTAAGAATTAGCAGCAACTCATTAAAATTTTAACCAGCAAAAAGGAAAATTTCTTCCGAAGAACTCTGCAGTTACCTCTTCAAATAAAGTAGAATTAATAACAAAGACCTGAGAACAACTGGTGCTTTTCCCATCTCGCTGTGGAGTTCAGAGTCCTCTCACTCAGTTGGAGATGTCACTTCCACAGTGCTTGTCAGAGTGACGGACTTCCACTGTGAGGACATGCAGACAGTGTGCTGCCGCAACTTGGGGAGAATTCTTCACAAACCCCATGATGTCTTAGAAAATCATAACTTTCAGAGATCGTCTTTACTTTTAAAATTATATTTATGTCTTATTATTACTGTCGCTGTACTCCCATAGTTCATTGATTTGCTCGAGTGGGCCCAGTAACATTGTGAGAATTGTTACTGTGTTTGGTATATCGAATATGTCATGAGTAGCTTGCCAGGCTTTGCCGTGCAGGCGAGATACTCTTGGTAGCTTGTCGGGCTCTCTGAGAGGGGAGAAGGAATAGAACTCAGGTCGGCCATGTTGGCTGCGTACAAGGCAAACACCCTACCTGCTGTGCTATCACTCCAGCCCATGTCTTATTATATATCATTGAATTATACATAATTAAACATACAGCTCTATAAAAAATAATATACAATTTAACTATGTTTAATTTAATTATTAATCATTAGTTCAAGGTGTAATTTGTTGAAGGCAGTTTGATTAACTCAACAGTGCTCAGTAGCAATAAATATACTTAATAATAGTTGGAATTTGATATTTTTAAAATATCCCAACTATTATTTGAGATACTGATGGTATGTTTAACCTAAGAATCAATGAATTCTCTCTTGTCTGGGTAGATGGATATGAGCACAATTGTCGTTCTTTTTTTTATTTTTATACATTTTTATTCTTTATTTATTTTATTTATTTTTATATACATTTCTTTCATTGATATCTTTTCTGAAAAGGAAATGGGCTACATGTGCAAAGGATGCTTTGCAAAGTCTAGTAACTTTGCAAGACATTGACATAAGGATAAGTTATTCTAAAACTCCCTAAAATGGCTAAAATATAGGAATCAATCAATTGTAAAAACTCTGGCTTTTCAGATAAAGCCAAAATCTAGAGTCCCCCTTCTAAGGTTGATGTATGTTTTAAAAACATTTTTTAAAAACCAGTTGTTTATTTATTAATTTATCTATTTTTCTAGCAAAGTGGGTAGGGCGTTTGCCTTGCACGTGGCCAACTGGACCAACCCGAGTTTGATTCCACTGCCTTTGATTCCTCCACCCCTCTCGGAGAGCCCGGCAAGCTACTGAGAGTATCTTGCCTGCATGGCAAAGCCTGGCAAGCTACCTGTGATGTATTTGGTATGCCAAACACAGTAACAACAAGTCTCACAATGTTACTGGGCCCGCTTGAACAAACCAATGAACAATGGTACAACAGTGACAGTGACAAAATGGATATAATATAACATACAATATATCTAATGTAATCTATATTAGCACATGTCTATAAAAGGATTTCTACCTCTTTTCTTGTGATCCCAACTTCCTTAGTCTCAAATTTTTTATTCAAAAGGAATGGTATTGAAAACCCAGAAATAAACACTCATGTATGCAGGCAATTAATTTATGACAAAGGAATTAAGAACATGAATAGAGGAAGGAAAATGTTTTTAATAAAAGCTGCTTGGGAAATTATTGGGTCAGATGCAAAAGAATGAAGTTGTACCACTATTCACATCACATACAAAGATAGATTAAAGACTTAGACATTAGACCTAAGTTCATAAAACACATTGAAGAAAACATAGACAAAATGCTCCATTATATTTGTTTCAGTAATATCTTTAGTATTATATCCTATTGACGAATAAAAGACTCAAATGAACATAATGATACTCTATCAAACTATGAAGCTTCAGGGCTACGAAAGAAATAGTCACTAAAACAAAGACACACTGTCGAGTAAGACATATTGCACACTATTCTCCTGACAAAGGGTTAATAGTTAAGATATGGAAAGCACTCACAATAAAAATAAAAAATAGACCCATCAAAAAATGGGAAAAAGATCTGAGTGGACATTTCACTTAAGAAGATATATGATTGAGAGACAAAGGAAAGTATTCATCATCAATGGTTATCTGAGAAATGCCAATCAAAATGACATTGAGATATCACCTCGTAGGGCTGAGAATGGCTTGTATCAAAAGGGCCAACAAGTGCTGGGGGGATATGGATAAAGGGAAACCTCTGTCACTGTTGTTGGGAATGTAAACTGGTTCATCCTCTATAAAAAAAAAACAGTTTGGACACACCAAAAAAATTAAAAATAGAACTAGATACCATATGATCTAGGTACCTAAGCTCTAGGTAGATCCAATTTTAGGTATCTATCCCAAGAAGCACCAACTCAAAAAGATAAATGCACTTTTCTGTTTATTGCATCATTATTTATAAGTCAAGTTCTAGAAATAATCCAACTGCCCAATGACAGAGGGATAAAGAATTTTGAGTATGTATCACAATAGAATACTGCTCATCTACAAGAATAGATAAAATCTTTCTTTTTGATGAGTGAAATTAGTCAGAGGGAGACAGAATGATCTCTTTTGTATGCAGGGTATAGAGTAACATAGTAGAGAAATAACAAATGTCTAAAGGCAATAGAATCAAGAGCATAAGAACTGATACTTGAAGTAGTGGTAGCACAGGAGTAAAAGACCTATAAAACAAATAATACTAAAACACAGTGAAGACATTGAATAAGTATTAAGAGATGGTGCCAGTCTGTATTTGTGGATGATGAGAACTAATATAGTCAAAAGGTTGACATAACAAAAGTTAATATGTGCACATTTAATGGAATTCCAATCAAAATCCAGTAATGTTTTAAAGAATACTAAATATTAGTACTTCTATAGAATCATAAAACTTCTCAAACAGTGTTTACTTTGGTAGCACATATGCTGAAATTGGAAAGATACAGAGATTAGCACAGCCCTTGCAGAAGGATGTCAGGAAAATTTGTGAACTTTTCTATAAAACTTTTAGTAGTTTTTCTATAAAAGGTTTAGTAGTTTTACTAAAACTAAAACAAACAGGACTGGAGAGAGAGCATAGAAGGGAGGGTGCTTGCTTTGCCTGTGGAAGTTTTAGGATCAATCCCTTGTACCTCATATGCTCCCTCAAATCATTTCTGGAGTGATCTCTGAGCATAGAGCCAGGAATGATCCCTGAGCATCACGAGGTGTGCCCTCCTCAAACAAAATAAATTAATAAAACAAAAACCTTAAATAACTGTAGTAATCCTGAAGAAGAAAAAGAAAATGGAAGTGTTGTATTACCTGACTTCAAACTATACTATTGGGATGGAGCGGTAGCACAGCGGGTAAGGCATTTGCCTTGCATGCAACCAACATGGCCGACCCGAGTTCGATTCCTCCGCCCCTCTCGGAGAGCCTGGCAAGCTACCCATGATGTATTCAATATGCCAAACACAGTAACAACAAAGTCTCACGATGGAGACGTTACTGAGCCTGCTCGAGAAAATCGATGAACAACGGGAGGACAGTGACTCTCTCTTAATAAAAACTGCATTGTATTAGAATAAAAATGAACATACAGATAAACCAAAATAAATCGAAAAGAATTAAAAACCCAGAAATAAATACACACATTTATTAATAGTCTCTTCAACAACTAGTGTGAGAAAAACTGTATTAGGTAGCACATGGAAAGAGAAAAACTAGACTATTCTTCAATCCCATGTACAAAGATTTCAAAAGTGTATTGAAGACTTTGATATAAGACCCAAAGCCATAAAGTACATAAAAGATAAGAGAGATAAACTGCTCTATGAGATTAACATAGAATTGTCTTTGGGAAATTGACATTATCAACAATGATAATAAAAGTAAAGATAGGCAGTTAGAATTGCATGACATTGAAAAGATTTTACAGAGCATACAAAAATCAAAGGAACAACAGAAGGAAAGGACAACCTACTGAATGGGTGAAGATGTTTGAATATTAAACACCTGGTAAGATGAGGCTGAAGAGATAGTATAGCAGGTAGGGCACTTGTCTTGTGTGCCCTACCTGGGTTTAATCCTCAGCAGCCCATCTGGTCTCCTGAGCACTGCCAGGAGTAACTCCTGAATGCAGAGCTAGAAGTAACCCCTGAGCATTGGCAGGTATGACCCAAAAACCAAAAGCATAAATAAATAAACATCTGGTAAGAAATTAATATCCAAAGTACATAATAAACTCACAAGTTTGCAGAAACAACATACCACATGCTAATTTAATAATTGGGTAGACACAAATAAAGGATGTTTGGAGGATCCTCCCAGGAGGGGAGATGCATGTCGAAAGTAGACTATGGACTGAACAAGTTTGCCACTCAATGCCTCTTTTGCAGACCACAACACCCAAAAGGAGAGAGAGAACACAGGGGATTGCCCTGCCACAGGGACAGGGGGGATGGGGGGATGGGGGTGGAAGGGATATTATCCATGGTGGTGGAAAATGGGCACTGGTGGAGGGATGGGTATCTGATCATTGTATAATTGAAACCAAAGCACAAAAAATTGTAAATCTACAACTTTAAAAAAAATAAAATAAAGGGAAAAAAAAAGAAAGAAAAAAAAATTGGGTAGACAATTTGAATAAACCCTTCTTCTAAGGGAGCATGCAGAGAGATCGCTGATATGCACATAAAAAATTCTCATCACCAGTGATTATACCTGTGAGAATACCTTACATCAAAAGCAACAATATGTATTGGAGAGGGTATAGAGGAAAAGGCACCCAACCTCTGTGCATTATAAATTGGTGAAGTCATTTTGGAAAGCAGAATGGAGCTTTTCAAGAAGCAAAAGACAGGGACAGGAGCTACTATATGATCCAGCTACTCATTTTGGGTATCTATTTGAAGTGTATGGAAACATTAAGATTAAAAAGATATCCGTCCAATGCTTATTGCAATAGTACTTATAACTGATTTATAAATAACTGATTTGTAAAAGGTAAAGGCCCTCCCGTTGATCGTCGATTTGCTCGAGCGGGCCCAGTAACGTCTCCATTGGAGACTTTGTTGTTACTGTGTCTGGCATATCGAATACTCTCGGTAGCTTGCCGGGCTCTCCGAGAGGGGCGGAGGAATCGAACTCGGGTCGGCCATGTTGGCCGCTTGTAAGGCGAACGCCCTACCCGCTGTGCTATCGCTCCAGCCGTCATTTGTAAATTGATAGTTTCTAAATATATAAGTAACTGAGGAGCCTATAATTTGTAACATGGTATATTTAACAATGGAATACTATTCAGTTTATGAAATAGATGAAATTTTGGCAATAAAATAAAAGGAGTTCAAAAGGATTATGTGCAGTGATTCAGAATAAAAAAGACAATTGTTGGATATTTCTTAATATTTCACCCACATGAGCAGTAAAATGACATGGAGATTGATGAACAGACAAAAATCAAAAAGACAAATCACAAGTGCACACAGACAATAAAACTCGAATTACCTGAGGAGAAGGAGAAGAAGGTTGGGGAAAAGAATCAAGATTGTGAGAGTGGTTAAAAAATGAATTCAGGGGCTGGAGCACTTGAACAAGTGTACAGTGGGTAAGGCACTTGCCTTGCATGTGGCCAACTAGATTTAATATGTGGAACCCCATGTTGTCCCCTAAGCCCCTTTCAGGAACGATTCCTGAGTGCAAAGCCAGGAGTAATCCCTGAGCTCAGCTGGGTGGGGTCCAAAAAAACCAAAAAAAACAAAAAAACCAAAGCTACATACAGTATGATAAGAATTCTGCTTCTGACATCTTAGTAAGAGCAAATGATAATGACTGATTTGGAGGGTGATGAAGAAAAAGAGAGCAAAACCAAAAGGCATGAGGACGAGAGTGCATTCTCACGTACACTGGTTCTCCTTTCCAGGCCCTCGCACTAAGATCAGCTGTTTTGAGTAGTCATTTACTTGGACCTTGAACTCCAGGGCTCCGGAGAGGGTGGAGCAACATTTATACCTGGACAGCTGATGGCTTTGGCAGCCCTGAGTGCACTGGTGTGTGTTAGAGAATGTGCCTTTTACAGGCTCAAGATTATCAAGAAAAGTTCTCTAGGGCCAAGAACAGTCATGTTCTACTTGCAAAGCAGCAGGCGCAGAACGGGGATGACCAAGGCAGGTGTTCAGGAGTTTGTTTGGTTGACTTATATTTAATTCCCCCTTTGGAGCTGAATTTGTGTATTCCCATTGTTTAAAGTGAGCATGATCATAATTGCCTTTTCAATTAATAACAATGAATTCCAAATGCAAATTACTTAACTTGCATCTTTCTTTTTCTCCCAGTACTGCCTTGATGTGGACTTTTATTGTCCAGATGAGAATCATACAGCAAATAATCTGACAATGAATAGATTAAAGTCTTTCTCTTTTCTCTTTTCATATACTAGGGAACATTAAAAAAAATCAACTTCTGACCAGGGAAAGACTGTAGGTTTTCATTCTTCCAGACTCCAGAAAGACAGAAGAGGTATTTTTTAGCATTTGGATTTTCTTTTCATTTCAACAGTAAGAAACATTGCTTTTCTCATTTCACATATAGCAAAAAGAAATGGTGGGATTTGAGAGGTTCTAGAAAACGTGTAATTCTAGGAAGGTTCAAAAACAAGAAAAAATGGAAACTTTATAGCTGTCTAACTATCTCAAATCACACATCTGTATATGGATACTGAATCTATAAGAACAGCGTACTCTCTTGTTAGTTTGTAGAAAGTATATGGTGACTGCAAACAATGACAAATGCCACTGGTTCAAACTAACTTGGTTATCAGAGGAATGTGAACATAAATCTGAGAGTACCCGCATATATGCATAAAGGTGTACGTGTTCAGTCGGTCCTCCATGACAACATTCATGGAGCCCATATTTTAAAATTCATTCACTTGTTAACACTTATTTGTAACCCCAAGATTCAAATGCATGACACTTTAGTCATTCACAGGCACCAAGTGAGAAGAAATATGAGTTGTTGGACATGCACTTTCCCAAGTAAGGTCAAACAAAGTGAAGTGCTTTCTCATTTTCACTTTCATGCCATAAACAAGTATCCTTTTTAGGACCCATTTAGTGCCACTTTATTCATATTTTTGTGGTGATCTTGCTGGTTCAATGGCTCCCAAGTTTCTGAAGTGCTATCTACTGTTACTGAGTAGAAAGATAGCTGTGATGTGCCTGCCTGGGTGAATTTATGTGTTAAATAAGCTTCCTTTGAGCAATGACCACAAATTCTAGATTAATGGATTGACAATTGACAATATTCATTGTCTTTAAACAGAAACACATAAAGGGGGTAAGAATTGATGAGTTGATCAAAGATTTTATACAAGAGGCACATAAAAACCTCTAATCCCCACTACAAGGAATGGTTCATTGTTAGCTAATTTAGTGAGTTTGTGATGACTTTACAGAAGAAACTTATTAACAAAAATAAATTAATGGTTTGGGGATTTTGTTTGGTTTTTTATTTAAAGGTTATACCATATGGTACTCAAGGCTTACTCCTGGCTCTGTGCTCACTCTTAGTGGGGCTTGGGGGACCATATGGGCTGCTGGGGATCAAACCCGGGTAGACACATGCAAGGCAAGAGCCTAACCTGCTCCAGCCCCGGTTTAGTGTTCTTATAAGTGAATAATGTTTATAAGTGAAGTCTGTGTGTTTGTGTATCTGAGAACATATGTGTGTGAGAGAGAAAGAGAGAGAGAGAGACCTTATCTCAATTCTCTATCCTAATTAAGCCGTTAGCCTAATATTTGATGATAAATGATGATTGGAGAAAAGTGTTGCCATTCAATACAGTCCATTTTTCTTAATTAGGGATAAAAGTTCCTGTACTTAATCCTTCGCTTTGCAGCAGTATTTTTGTTCCATCATTTGATAGCACCAACCATCATTTGATTGCACTAACACGATAATGTTGCTTAACTACTGCTTGGAAGAGTGGGAGTATGTGGGCTATAATAGTTAGTGAATATTATTGCAA